ACACACACACACACACACACACACACACACACACACACACACACACACACACACACACACACTAAGATGATCGGCTGCTGTGCAGTCGAAGTGTGCTTTGTGTGACATTTTCTCCAAGGCTGCAGCTTCCTGTTCAAAACCCACACACCGACTCGCCTCTAGACAGAAGGACAGAAGCTGCTGGACACACCCCTCCCTCTGGTTAATAAAATATTAGCTCATTTTCTGATTGCACAAAAAATAAAACACCTTCACTCACAGAACTTGTTCATTACTAACCTAACTCAGATAGTTAACTGGGCTGAGCCCAATCTGATTAACAGCTAATGTCATTTTTCCCACTATCTGACCTTTATCATTTCCTCCAGACACACCGGTCTGTTTAACACCTCAGGGGTCGAGCTCACTCAACATTTCTACTTTTGTGTAACGTTTACACAAACCCACCCCCCAACTCTTCCATCATTTCTGACATTTAGGAAAACTGAACTGTCTAAAAGTATCAGAGAACACTGTTGTCTTTAGAAGAAAAATTAAGGTTTTTGTTGTACATAAAGTTATCACCATAATCCCAAAGTACTTTCAGTTTCTTCTCAAAAACAAAGTGCTTCTTTATTTTTCACATTTCTTTCTTAAACTAAGTTAATACGCAGAGGAAAGTAAATGACATAAGAAACATATGATTTCAAAACTTTTTAAACTTTTACAAATAAACAATGTGTAAGATTCAAAGAAAATACATACCTAAAGCAATAAATTAAAATTTTTAAAGAGGAGTTTTGTTTCAAATTTTATGAGAATGGATGGAAAATCCATATTAGTCTTGGTCTCACTCAGCCTAGCCATTAGCTCTTCAACCCGGTCAGAATTAAACTTTATTTCTTCAAACTGGGGTCACTGAAAGAGTTGTCTAAAACAAGTGCAATATATCTTGTTAAATGCCCCGTTAAATGATCTGAACTTAAAGAAAAGTACCTCTTTACACTGATGCAGGTAAACAATGTGTATTTTATATCATTGCTTTTAACTTTGTAGAAAGATTTAAGAAAAATGGAAAAAAAGAATGTACCTTTTTTGGTGCCTGCAGAGAACCAATTTATTTTATTGTATTATTTATTTACAAGCCTAAAAAAATCAGCTTTATTACACAAAATAAAAGATTTAAACACATTAAAGTACATAAATTCTACAAACTTTATTTCAAAATGAGCAACTTCTTCTCAGGCACAGAATAAGGAAGCCCCTATTTTCAAAATTAATCTCAACTTATTCTATAAATATTTTATAGTGCTCGTACCCAAACTAAACCTGATGTTTATAACTACCTAAATTCTTAAAAGAATCTGTATGCGTATGTATGGGTTCATTTGTACATGTGTGTGTGTATTTGTATATGTGTGTGCTTGTGTGTGTATGTGGGAAAATCTCCAGGTGTCTTCCAAACCCAAAAAGAAAAAAAAAAGTCAACCTCATGATCTCAAGCTCAAGCAGCAGTAAACCAGTACAATGGTTAACTGATCCATATTTCAATAGCTGCACACCTGCAAACAAAAAAAGACTTCTTTCCTCTTTTCAAAGTTCAGGCAGCTCACGCAATAAAAAAAGAGGTCGTAAGCAAAAAAGATACTTAAATTTAAACTGCTTTGCTAAAAAAAACCCTTCTGGCATCAAATTATACAAAAATATGATTTACATTTTAAAACTTCTGAGGGTAAGAGCAACTATAAGGAGGGCGCATTCTAAAAGTTGGTAAAATACAAGTATCTATACAAAAATTACAGAGCTGTAATAAATAAAGCTGCCAGAAATGTCTTAAATCTGAATGTGGTGCAAACTAAGTACTGTCTCTTTAAAAAAATACATTAAACAGTTTCTGGATGTTTTCTTGCAGTAATCAGAGCAAGTGGATCGTTTTGTTGGTCCAGGTTTCTTCACTTCAGTTGAAATGTTAAAAGATTCACAATCAATCTATTCAGTGCAGAAGTCTTTACTTTTTTTGGTTTGTTTTTGTTTAGTTGAGAAAATATGAGGTTTCATTTTAAAATAGCAACTTAGCACCAACCACAAGGCAGCCAACCAACGTATTTCCTCAAATCTACCTTGTGAAAGCTTTCTTCTGATTGGTGCGAACAATGTCGTCGGGCGAAGGTGAGTCGAAGCGAAAAGGTACAACAGGAACAACGTGCTCTTTGGATTTGTCCTGCAGTTCGCTAAGAAAAGCCTGGTAACCACTTTCTGTCTTCGGACCCTTTATTTTTTCCTTCATTGCGTTCTTCCTCCTCTGTTGTCTGTGGCTCTGAAACGACAACGTAACCGCAAATACTGAAGGCTTTGCGAAAACTGTCGAGCCAAGCCCCAGGGCTGGAGATGTTGAAGACGACATCGAGGGGAGGTCACTGCTCGTCTGGGCCATGAGCTCGCTCAGATCGATAGTGTGACCTGGCTTACACGGCCTGGGGATTTGCCGGAATGGTTTGCGGTCGAGCTCGTGCTTGGTCCCGCCCCGTGCGGAGCTTTCTGCCAACACGTCAGCCCCTTCTGGTTTTGCTGGTGAAGGAAGCGACGTGAGGGCGCGCTGTGACCCATTTGAGGTGGTTGAGGTTTCGCCTTTATGTTCAGATACCAAATGTGACAAAGAGAGCAGCTCGGAGAGGCCAGGTGGCTGCTTCAGTGCATCTGCTTCAGATTCAGTGCTGATGGGTGGATGGGAGGTGAAGGAGCTGCTGCTTTGATGCTGCAGGGCTAGTTCTGACAACGACACAGTCCCACCGAGAAAAGGTGGAGTAACACTGGCTATGTTTGAAGAGGGAACCCTGTTCACTGCTTTTTCTGCGCTTTGAGGGTGAATTCTTCCGATTTGATGCTGTGAAGCGATCTCAGACAGCGAAGGTGTCTGTGCTGCAGCCACACATGTAGCTATCGCAGCACCGGCGGTGAGCAGGGAGTTACTCGAAGCTTGGCCGCGGCTCGAGTGCTCCTGGATTAAATCAGCCAATGATAGACCTCCTTTAGGATCAGCCATCGAGAGCTGACTGTTACGGACAGGACTGAGACGTCCAAACCCAGGAGGATGAGCTAGAGCAGCGGTTGCTGCGTTGGGATTGTTCAGGGATAGATTGCTCAACGGAGTGGAAAGGATGGAGGGATTCGATGTGTTGGTTGATGGAGAGATTTTCAAAGAAGCCAACGTTCCAAGAGAAAGGCTGTTCTGATTAGACAAAGTTGACAACGATGAATTACAGCCTATGGCGAAAGTACTTAATGAGGAAATATCAAAACTCCTCCCTGAGTCAGCCACTCCTTTTTGACTCTTTTGCCCGTGCTCAGACATGAGCTGAGCCAAGCTGGTAGCGCTGCTAACGCCTTGATGTGCCTTTTCACGGTGACAATTTGGCTTTGCACAGCTGCTATTCACAGGCTCGGCCTCATGTCGCGATAAGAGGTCACGCAGGTTTGGCACCCTCGGCTGTGTGTGTTTAAGTGTCTTGGGTGCATTATTGTCTGTGAAAGAGGCAGACAAGCAGGCTCCTTACCTTACAAAAGCCAAGTGGAGTTGTCGAAGAGGAGGTGAATCGTAACATGTTCAAAGGAAAAGGAAAACAGAAAAAGGCACTTTGTTAAACATATGCACGACTTAAATGTGTCACTATCCGAACAAGTTAAATGCTTTGTTAAGATAAGAATCTATGAATGCAGATCTGATGAATAACACCAATACGATATACTTCCAAGTATCTTCAGATTAGACTTCTAGATGACTAATTATTAAACAAGTAAATACTTTACTGAAATGTTATTAATAAGCAAGCCGTGATGCAAACAGAGATTAATGGTTATACACTAAATAAGGTCCTCAAGGGCCACTATTCTGCATGTTTTAGAGCAGGGGTGCCCGAACATTTTCCCCAAAACGGCCAAAATGAGAATCTATCCAGAGCTGCGGGCAAAATGCCATAATATAATACATGAAATACAAATACTATTTTAGTAAAGTACTTTATTTTGTAACGATTAAGCCAGCAGCCAGTGTGGTGGCCCGCTTTTGTTTTAGTCTGGGCACTTGGAGAAAGTCTGCCATATGCTCAAGTAGCAAAGGCTCATGGGAAATTTCATAAATTGATAAAATATGAGTTTTTCTGGCCTTATAAAGTGTGCAAATCTACATGTGGGATTAAATCTAATCTAAATATCACTTTTTAACTTGTATTTCACATTTAATCTTAATATATCAAAGATAAAGTCAGAATCATGAGTGAAAACTTATCTGTGCTTCTGCCCCTTATATAGTCATTGGGCCAATGGATAAAATGACAAAGTGCAAATACTTTTTCTACATAGGACGACAGGTTACAACCTAGTAACAATGTCAACTGCTGGTGGGCTAAATCAAATGGCTTGGCGGGCCAAATTTGGCCTGCGGGCCCCACTTTGGGCAACTCTGTTTTAGAGGTTGCTCTGCTAGTGATGGAATTACCTCAGAATCGTGTGCAAAAACAGAGAAACGTCTAAAAAATGCAGAATAGTGGCCCCTCAAAAGCAGGATTGGACACCGCTACACTAAAGTAAAAGCAAAATTTTATTTATATAAAGCTGATCTGTAGCTAAACTATATATAAAAAAAGGCTGATTAAGATAACCATCTTAACCAAAAGCATTGATTTATAAAAATGTAACAACAGCCAATCAGAAGTTTTTATTTAAGATCAATAAAACATAATATTCTGATCCAGTCCAGGCGTACCTTTCTCAGCCACGGTCTCCTGTTTGGTTCTTTCTGGAAGAGGCCTCTTCTCTTGACTAACTCTGCCAATCTCTTCATTTGCACTTCTGGTGACCAGGGCTGTCTTGGTGTCTTCAGATAGTACTGAATTCAGTGCCTTCTGTGGGTCAAACCCATGCCTGACAGCTGCCTGGGTCAGGACCGAGTCTGGCACCGCATCCCCCAGCACGGTCCGCATGTAGTCCAGGCAGGAATAAAGCTTTGCTAAAGAGCGAAACACCCAAGTTAAATAACAATTTTTACAATGAATTACAAAGATGTAATAAATCTTATCCATAAAGTTGTTGTGATATGCAAACGTATGATTGGAAATACTAATAACATATTGCAAAAAAAAAATCACATCGATGAGATGAACAGTTGTCGAGATATTCACATGTACAGGAAGTGGTGACAAAGAGAAATGCCTGCATGTAAATGAAACTAACAAGGACAGTGATGAAGAATCTGGTGCTTCTTTAGATTATTTTGAGTCACCGTCAGTCAGAGACGGAGAAGGCTCTGAGCTCGGATAAAGAAAGACCAGGGAGTTCCCCTTTGTTGTCACTTCTGGTTGTGCGTTGCCGCACCGAGTTCAAAACAAAAATATGACAGCTATGTGACAGAATGGGTCAAACTGTGTGTATTACAAAAAAATGTCTTTAAAATTAGGATATTTTCTTCCAATTTCCGTATTTTTAGGAATGCATGTCTCAGACATCTTAAAATTACCTTGATCAAGAGGGTCAAAGTTGTGGTCAACAGTAGGGGACATGGGAATATCCCCAGCTTCATCTTCTTCCTCCTCTAAAGGCTCCTCTTTTGGTGCTTGTCTCTCTTGACGTGAGTAGATGAACTGATTGGCTGTACAATAAAATAAAAATAAATATGTATGTTTATAATCACTGATCACACACCTTTAACAAGTTCAACAGTACACAGCAATCACTTCTTATTAGAAGTGATTAGAAGTGTATTAACCAGTGGCAGATAAAACAATCTGTATAATTATTTCCATTTGAGCTGTTAAAACAGCATAAGAATGTCTAGTCGATTAGGTTTATGCTTTAATTTTGCAACTGACGACGCATAATATGCATATTATCTGTGGTAATTTTACCACAATTAAATCTAGAGATCTAAACTTGAAACAAAATACTTTTTGAAATGTCTTATCTGTGTTTTATAAACAAACTATTATCTGTTGATAGAGAAGCTAAAATGATATTTTTTTACAGCCAACTTAAGCAGCAATGTCCATCACTGAAAACCAACCCGTTGCTGGTGATATACAGTAGTCGTCATCCACAGACTGTCCATACATGTCATCATCTTCAAAATCTAATAAAGGAAAAAACAAAGTTAAATTGTGTGCCTTGGCTGAAGTATTTGTTTACATAACTGCATTAGTCAGGCCTTTATAACAGCTGTCACTTTGACTTGTCAGCAATTTCAGAAATCCACAAAACTTTGATTTAGGATAACTTATAAACTGAACCGTGGTAGGTTCACAATCTTGTTTGAGACTTAATAATTCAATATATTCATATCAGTGGATATTAATATAATCTGCACAACAATTACGAGCACCACAAAAACAAAAGCTTGCTAGCATATGTAGCAACGCTTGCAACAATGTAAATTGTTGACATTCAAAGTGTTGCCAAATAGTTTAGAAATAGCCGATTTACTTAAGTATATACGTAGACTCTAGTGTAAGGGAGTAATCGGAGTTTCGACTGGTGCCAAGTGACACGACAGCAACATATTTTTGGCTACTAAACAAGCGTTAGCTGCTAACTTTAGCTTAGCGGCTAAAGAGTTTAGCAGCGCGACGCTTCGGAAAGAACCAACTACTGGGTGAAGTTCTCTACCTTCGTCGTAGTTGTAACCTCGAACATTTCTGTGGCGAGACATTCTTTGTCTGTTTGTCCTCCTCTCTCGGTCCCGCCGGTGTAAATGTTATTCAGCTCGCAGACATGTGCATTACCACGGCTGCCATTGATGTCGCTTGTGTGTGCAGCTTCCAACAACAGCAAGTGAGGAAGTCAGGTTTGATTTTTTTTTTCGGTTTCAAAAATAAATAATTTAATTTAAAGCTGTGTTTTATAGCTATATGTTTGTCAAACAGTGACACATTACATATTAAAGTTTAAAAATGTAAAAAAAAAACTGTGTAGGTTTTCCGCTGACGTCACTTCCTGTCGCACTGGCATGGGTTTGGATAGATCAACTAAAACACGGATTGACACTAGAGAAACCATTTAAATGTCAATGCTAAGTGCCGAATGACTGCTACAATTTCTTGATTAGACTGCAACTGAGATATTGAAGCTTAACACAAGCTAAAAGCTAGAAAGTTTACAGAAGTCGCAAGTCTGAAAGAAAGAACAAAACAATAACGTATTTGCACAAAAAAAAGAGTAGTAAGCAGCATCCATTAAAATCTTGCTGGACAGTCTTTTTGACCCTTCCAAATGGCAGCACACAGACTTCTGAATGGCACTGTGCTGCCAAGAAATTAAAGTTTCTGCCAGAAACTTTAAATTATTCGTAAAACCTTCTAACCTGATAAGAACGACGATGATCGTGTAATTTTTTCCCACGATGACGTTAATGAATGCAATTGCAAACTACTTCTGCAGTATCTGCTGTGTGGGCAAACTCGTCAGTGTAGATAAAATATCTGCACGAAAATCTGAGCACATTTTCCTGCCTGCTAGTAACAGAAACGCGATGACAAGATTCAACCTGCATGCAACACATTTTGATTTTCTCCTACGTTTCATGTCCTGTCTATGATCTTAGGGTGTGAATCTCTCAGCCATTTTTGTCAGAAGTTATGCCCCATGGTTAGAGACCAACCCATGTGATCTCACACTCTTCACCTTGCACACACACACAGACACCAGACTGACATAATTTCCACCTTATCTTTGCATTACAAGAAACTCATACCCTGTTTGTCACAAATCAGAAAGAAACTAGAGCTGTCAATTCAGCTGTGAATTTCTTTGCACCTTTTTATTCTCACAGATATGTGTGCAGAAATGTGTGCACAATTTGGTACAATGCACCACCTTCTCCCGGTACCTTTAGGAGATGAATGAGAGGACGACGAAAATGTCAGAGAATAATCTGATACCACCAATGATGGGTGGATGAGATATCTCACACATCACAGCTAAAAATAGAACACTTTTTTGGGGAGGGGGTAATTTTGACAAACGAATGCTTAGAGGTTGGTAAGAATGAGAAAGATATCAGGTGGGACTGTTGGCTGAGATGTTTACTAGCTGCTGGGCACACTTTCACCTTTGGTTGGGAGTGTGCACGCGCGTGCGCGTCTGCCTCTAAGTGGGCGGAGGTTTCCCCCTCGAAAATTCCACTTCCTGCGTTTTGAACTCGCGCATCAACATGTCAAAATAAACAAGTGCACTTGCACAAATGGAGCACATGCGTACAAACAAGCGGACGCAAAAGCTGCACCCTTTTCAGGGTCACGCAGGTGACGCCGAGGGAACTCTTCCTTTGCATCACTAAAATGTTTTTAGGGCATTCTGAAAACAAAAAAGGACAAATGATACACAAAAGAGTGCTTGGTATACTTTAGAAGATGTTTCCAAAGTGGGGAAAAAAACAGCTTTAGCATAAATAAGATTGGAGTGTTTGTGTCATGATTCTTGGTTTTTGTGGTTTTTGTTTGCCATTTTGTTTTGTTCCTTGCGTTAAGGACCTGTTTTTCTGTTTCCTTGTCTATTCATTATCTTTTACCCACTTCGTCCGTTCAGGGTCACGGGGGTCACAGGTGGCCATATCCAGCAGTCACTATGCGAGGGGCGGGGTACACCCTGGACGAGTCCATCACTCCTTGTTTTTTTTTTTATTGTATTTATTTATTTTATTTATTTATTTATTTATTCGATTTTTTCAGTTTGGTTTGTTTCCCGATGTTTCCCTTGTGTTATCGTTTATATCGTATTCCCTCATAGTCCTGCTCCTTATTTTGCACCTGTTCGTGTCATCACTCCACGCCTGTTTGAACTCCCGCTTTTCAGTCCACCTTCGCTTTGCAATATTGTCTTGAATAGCTCGTGGTTTAGTTGTTTTTCAGCTTTTTAAGTCTTTTATTTGCATCTAGTCTTTGTATAGCGGCACGACGGAAGAGTGGTTAGAGCTATTGCCTTTCAGTGAGATGGTCGCAGGTTCCTCCTGGATTAGGGCCCTCCTGGGTGGGGTTTGCATGTTCTCTCTCAGCATATGTGGGTTTTCTCAGGGTATTGATTTCCTCCCACAAACCAAAAATGTGTATTATATGTTCACTGGTAACTCTAAATTGTCCTAGTTGTGGATGAGAGTGTGAATGGCTGTAGCCTATGTCTCTCTGTGGCCAGGGTGCCAAATGTCAACTTATTGAGGTGCCACCACCCAAACAACTGATAAATGGATGGGGGTCTTGGATTTTGTATTTGGATTTAACAAGATTCTTCTCTGTTACTGTACTATATAATTTTTCAGCTAGGAATGTTTAAAACTGGCTGAATTGTAGCACTGTATAAAATTCGCATTAGCAGTTAGCAGAATTTGGGATTAGCATCGGCAATCGACGTAATCATTCTTAGCTACTGCACAACATCGGGCAAAATGAGTATTGAACGCATCACCATTTTCACAGTAAATATATTACTAGAGGTGCTAATGACATGAAATTTTCACCAGATGTCGGTAACAACCCAAGTGATCCATTCATACAAAGAAATCAAACCATAAATGTCCAGAAATTAAGTTATTTGTAATAATGTGGAATGGCACAGGGAAAAAGTATTAAACACATGAAGAAAGGGAGGTGTAAAAAGGCATGGAAAGCCAAGACACCAGCTGAACTCTCTCAGTAATTAGAAAGCAAGCCTGCCCCTTGTCAGTGCAAGTTAATATCAGCTGGTTCAGTCCCAAATGATGGCCAGGTATCACACAAGAACCATCTGATGATGGGTAAAAGTAAAGAGCTCTCTCACGACCTTCACAACCTTATTGTTGCAAAGCATAATGATGGCATCGGTTACAGAAGAATGTCTAAACTTCTGAAGGTTCCAGTGAGCACTGTTGGGGCCATAATTCAGAAGTGGAAAGAACATTATTTCACCATAAACTGACCACGACCAGGTGCTCCTCACAAGATTTCTGACAGAGGAGTGAAAAGAATGATCAGAAGAGTTGTCCAAGAGCCAAGGACCACTTGTGGAGAGCTTCAGAAAGACCTGGAATTAGCAGGTACGATTGTTTCAAAGAAAACAATAAGTAATGCACTGAACCACCATGGCCTGTATGCACGCTCACCACGCAAGACTCCACTGCTGAAGAAACAGCATGTTGAAGCTCCTTTAAAGTTTGCTGCACAACATTTAGACAAGCCTGTGTAATACTGGGAGAATATAGTCTGGTCAGATGAGACCAACATTGAACTGTTTGGATGCCAGAATACACATCATGTTTGGAGGTCAAATGGCACTGCACATCAGCCCAAAAACACCATACCAACAGTGAAGTTTGGAGGTGGGAACATCATGGTGTGGGGCTGTTTTTCAGCATATGGTACTGGCAAACTTCAAATAATTGAAGGAATCCTTCGATGAATGGAAAAATGTACAGAGACATTCTTGATAAAAAATCTGCTTCCATCTACCAGGATGATGAAGATGAAACGTGGCTGGACATTTCAGCAAGACAATGAGCCCAAACACAAAGCCAAGGAAACTCTCAGTTGGTTTCAGAGAAAGAAAATAAAGCTGCTGGAATGGCCCAGCCAATCACCTGACCTGAATCCAACAGAAAATCTATGGAAAGAACTAAAGATCAGAGTTCATAGAAGAGGTCCACGAAACCTTCAAGATTTGAAGACTGTTTGTGTGGAAGAATGGGCCAAAATCACACCTGAGCAATGCATGCCACTAGTTTCTCCATACAGGAGGCGTCTTGAAGCTGTCATTGACAACAAAGGCTTTTGTACAAAGTATTAGATAAATTTCAGTAAGTGTGTTCAATACTTTTTCCCTGTGCCATTCCACATTATTACAAATAACTTCATTTCTGGACATTTATGCTTTGATTTATTTGTATGTATGGATCACTTGGGTTGTTATCGACATCTGGTGAAAATTTCATGTCATTAGCACCTCTAGTAATATATTTACTGAGAAAAATGGTGATGTGTTCAATACTTATTTTACCCGCTGTATTCCATCTCAATAAGTCCATAAGTCATAAGTACCATGGCTATAATGTCGATTTTGGACATACATTGTTGTTATGGTTGTAAAATTGCCAGGATAAGTTTGAGAGCTTTGATTATTTTTCCCATATAGTTAAACTTGACTTTTTAACATTTGGTTAATGATTATTGCACATTATAAGGAAATTTCAGCAGTTTAAAAGAAGAAAAATACCAAAATGAAAATAAAATTTCAAGGTTTATTGAGAAATAAAATTCAGAACATTAACGAAGTTTTGATTTGGCATTTTAAATGTGACCCTATACATGTTCACAATATTTACCAGTCATTTTTTGAGTGTAGGACACTGGGTGTACAAAATACAAAGCCAAAGATAACTATAAACACAGGCGAAATTAGGCCAAATAACAGTTCAAAGGTGGAAAAAATATGTACATTCTCAAATTACATTCATATTGTACATGAACTTTTGATTTGATATTTGAAACATGAATTTTGAACATGAAAACAGTGCAAAAGAGAAATAAAAGGCATTTTGAACATTCAAAAGACAAATATAAAAACTATACATGAAAAAAATAACTGAAACAAATCTATACAATACAAATAAACATGATAATTCAGCATAGAACTGCTTGAAGAACTTACAGAAAAATATGCGTAATACTAAAAATAATAATTTTACACGAGAAACAATATGTAAACCTGTCTCTGGAGGACTCCATCAGAGGCGTGAGCACTGAAAGAAAAATGGAAAACAAAAAATGAAAATCACTCCTTTCATAG